TTGAACAAGCCATGGTGGTATATTATTACTTTTTTTAGATTCTTCAAGCATTTTAAGTAATTCATAATAAAGAGGAACAGTCATTGATAATGTCAGATATTCTGAAGATGATATTACAATTGTTGCTTCTTTAAATAGTTGTAAAATTTTAACAAGCTAATTTAGTTTATTCCATTCAGATTTAGTAAGAATATACTCATACAAATCTTCCTCAGCAAGAACAACAACATCTAACACACTTTGTAATTTCAATGCCTGTTCAACCATTTCACAAGTAGAGTTCCATCTGGTAGTCACATCAAGAATCGGCTTCAATTGAGGTATGTTATGTATTTGACATGTCATCTTTAACTTTTTGCAAAGTGTTCGTAAACCTCTAATACTTTTAATTAATATATGTAATTTTTCTAATTCATCTTCTGTATATTTAAGCATGTTTTGCATAGCAATGTTCAGAATATATCCAAAACATCGAATAGACTGCTGCGTGCAGTCAAACTGAAATCTAACTTGTACTACAAAATTTGAAAATTCAGATAAAAACTTAATATTTGAAGATGCATTGTCATGTGTCACTGCTACTAGCTTTGAGAGAATTCTTATTTGTCGAATACAGTTTTCAAATGCATTAGCGATTACTATTCCTGTATGAGGTCCATCTATATTAATAAAGTCCAACAATAGATGTTTTATTTTCCATGACTTATCCAGGTAATGAATTGTAATTGTCATGAATGATTTTTCATATGTACTCATTGTCCAAATGTCTGTTGTTGCTGCTATACCTCCTACAATTTCTTGTAGTTTTTCATAAAGAATTTCACATTCTCTTTCAAAAATATTCATTATATGTCGCTTAATTAAATCAACAGAAGGTACTAAATAAATACATATTTTTTAAATTAATAAATCGGTAATATATTTGTATTTGAATGATACCAAGTGAAAATAAGATCCTGATCATATAAATTTTATATGATCAAGGTTCTATTTTCACCTGGTATCACTTATTTGTAATATACATACCTCTCGCTTGTAGTTCTAAATATGTTATGATCGATCTAAGTCCATCATCCTCAACTAAATTAAATGGTCGATTATGTGTAATGATCCATTGTTTAACCATATCATTAAGTTTATTTTAATCAAATATTTCACAATTTTGTTGACTTTCAACATATCTAAGTCAGAGACAGAAGGCCTTTCATCATTTAGTTCTGGAACTTTATGTCTGTGAATACGAAGCTTAAAATGCTTCCTAAGATTTGATGTGGATCCATCAGAATATTTTAATGGTTTTCCACAGATATCACATTTGGCGAAGGATCCTTCTTTTTGAAAGTAATGCCACACAAATGACCCATTATTTGTGGTAATAGCAGGCCCCAATGATACAGATGTCAATTCACTTGACTCGTTGGTTCTGAGTTTATTTGAGCAAATCGTTTCATTATTTTCAATTAATGGTGTAGGAGAGATCAACCTTACGAAAGCTTAAAAAATTAAAAAAAAAATTTTTTTGAGATTTTTTATTAATCAGGCTCTACCTACCATTATCCATAGTAATATACGAAGTAAAATCCACACAAAATACCAATTATAGATTATTTTCTCTGGGCTTTTTTTATTTTTTATTTTATCTTTTTATTTTTTTTTTATTTTTTATTTATTCTTTTCTTTTTTCTTTATTCTTTTCTTTTTTCTTTTTCTTTTTTCTTTTTTTTTTTTTTTTTTGATTTTTTTTTTTTTTGACTTTTTTTTCTTTTTTTTGTTTTATTTTTAGCTCACAAAGCTAA